AAAGCTGCCCAGTGGGTACTGGGCAAATCTGCTGTTAAAATAGGTGTTTTCACCACGTGGAGCTGTTGCAGCCTCAGATAAGAACCTGTGGTGGGGAGGCAGGTGGGGACGGTGGAGGGTAATGCTGGGCAGTGGGGTTGGCAGTGTGTTTTTTGGTGTGCTGATGGTCCAGTCTTTAACTGAGGGGTGATTTTTAAGCTTCACAGCAGGGATTTTGGAGGAAAAAAAAAAAAAGTTTGCAGGTGACTTCTGTGACATATGGAGGTTAGCAATTAGGGGGTGCTTGTTTGTATGTGTAGATATATATCTCTCTATCTCTCTCTCTGCTGCTTCTCTTGACTAGGGAGCATCATTAGTTGTTTAGACTGAAGTGTTTTTTTGGCTGGGTGCTGAGGTTTGAGTGTGGTAACAGGCTTTACATGGAGATAAGGATGAGCAGTGGCCTGAGGGGAATTGGGGAGTCTCCATACTCCCTGGCTGCTCTCAGCCTTGGTTTTTCCTATGTCTTACCTGAGCCCGGGGAGGTGTCCTGGCTCCCCCGTCACCTCGTGATGGGGTGGATTTTTCTCTTGGAAAAACTCAGGGGAGGGATTGGGGGCTCCAGCTGGCTGTGTCTGCTCTGCACCAGCTCTCTGGCAGGATGAGCCCTTTGCATTTTGTGTCCTTTGCTCGGTTCCCCGGAGCAGGGAGGGGACAGGGTGAGAGAGAGGCAGGGAAGATGGATGGCACTGAAAATGCACCAAAAAGAGCAAAAACTTGGTGTGGGACAGCAGATGTGTGTGGGGGGGGTGTACTATAGTGCTTACCAGCTGCTTTCCATAAACAGCTGGATCAGCACCCTGCTCCAAAAGAAATAATCCAAGGTTTTCCCTGCTCTTCCCCGAGGTTGGAAGTTTTCCTCTGAAGTTGTACAGGCTTTAGTCCATCTCAGGAGCAGGGAAACACTCCAGGTCCCAGGGGCAGCATCACTGGGAGCCATTGGAGCAGCCACCTGCCCTGTTCTCCAGTGCAGATGTTGGTCTTGAGAAAGTCCTGCCTGAAGTCTCCAGGCCAGGGAAGCACCTGGGTCGGTTTCTGGTTCCTGCCCCTCTCCTGGAGGAGAGACAAAGGGAGACTTTGAGGCCTTCCTTGGTTTTTTTTCCCCCTCTGTAAATTCCGTTTTCAGAGCAGGTGCCTGTTCTGTCTTACATCATTTGCAGAGATGAAGTCACTCTGTCCCTGCCCAAAATAAATTGGAGGGAGGATGGTAGAAAGCGAATTATTTTTATTTAAAATTTTATTTATTTTTTAAAGAATCACATTAGAAAAAGAGAGGGAATACTTTGCTCTTTTGCCAAGTTTGCAGAGTTTTGGCGACACCTGGAAGTACTTGAATTGCACCAGTTTGGATAGAAAGAGAGTGTCTGTTGGCTGCGGAGTTACGGCTGACAATTAAAAAAAGTCAAATGACTCTTTTCCTTTCCTACTAACTAACCCAGTGCCTCCTGTCAAGCTGACCTATTCCGAAACCAGTTTTGAGTTTTCTCTCCCACCAGGAAGCTGTCAGCAGTTGCTCGCGTCAATTCCAAGCAGTTTTTATTTTCTCACGGTGAGGAGTCAAAGCTCCAGGCAGGGCTGGGTACCCGCTGGCAGGGAGATGGGCACAGCTCCCTCATTCCTGATGTGCTGTGAGTTGGATTAATTACCCATCCCAAACGTTTTCCCACCGCCCCCCCAAGCCTGCCCTCAGTGGGTCCGTGTTGGCATCGCTCCGTAGCTGAGCTTTGAAAAGTGCTGCCTTTTTTGGGGAGAAAATCCGGTTGGAGTGATGGATGTGAAGGAGGCAGCCTCCAGCCCCGTGGAGGATGCTTCACCCACACCCCAGCTTGGTGCCCACTCCAAAGAGGTGTCCCTGTGTCCGTACCCACCTTCACACGGGGGTTTTGCACAAGCTGTGGTGCAAAGCAGCATGTCTCTTGGCACTCTGCACTCATGAGACCCCACCTGGAGTACTGTGTCCAGCTCTGGAGTCCTCAACACAGGAAGGACACGGACCTATAGGAGCAGGTCCAGTGGAGGGCCACGAAGATGGTCAGAAGGATGGAGCGCCTCTGCTGTGAGGAGACAAGGGCAAATGCTGGCTCCCTGGGGCTTTTGAGCTTCTAACATCAGTCTGGTCTCTGCTCCTGCGGGTTTCTTGGAGGGGAGCCTGTGTGCTCCATCGTCGCGGGGCTGCAGGGTGGCGAGCTGCCACCTGGAAACAAAACACAAAATCTAACGCTTTTTTTTCCAGCCTTGGGGAGTTTTACAGGTAACTTAAAAATACAGCTGGCATGTGGCTGGGCGGTGACATCCTCCCGGCAGAGCCGGCGTGGCTCGTGGTGGCGTTATCTGGCCGGTGCACGGAGGCCGGGTGCGGCTCCGAGCCCCAGAGGTGGCAGTGCCAATGTGGCTGATGGTGGCTTCAGCCAGCGTGCCCGTCCCTAAATCCCTCTCCCGGTACCAGGAGTAGGTTGCACCCTCTTCCCTGGCATCACTCTCGCCCTGCCCTGGTGGCACCGTCGGTGTGACATCCCGGTCCATGGGAGGAGGTGAGCCCTGCGGGGGTATCGGTGATTGATTGTCCCCGAGTGCCATCTGAGGGGATGGGAAAGATGACCCTGTTCCCTTTCCGATCGGATTGGGTTTGGAGGCTTTGCTTTAAAAATAGAGCTGCCGCAGAGTTTCCAGGCTGCGGGTCCCGTGCCTGGCCTCGGGCACGCGGGGCTTTCCCGTGGGATGTGCGCGCCTCGTCCATGGAAAGGCACGTGCATCCCAGCCTTGGGGGATGCACTTGGCGTTACTGCCGTGGCCAGGGAAAGGGCTGCAATTCCTGGTCGGATGGCGAGGGGCAGTGGCCATCGGGACCATAACATGGCATTTCTCTTTTGCTGCTGGTGGCACAGCAGCCCTTCCCTGTTCCCCGGCTGTGAGGGAGGGGGGAAACCATAACCCAACCGGCCTCGGGAGACGCTGCCTCTCCGGAGGGAAAGGGTGGGGAGAGGGCCCCGGCGTTGGCAGGACATTGCTTGAGCTCATTGCTGTTTTTAAGGGTGTGCTCTTCCCCTTATTCAAGCCGGCCCATGGGCAGGAGGCTGCCAGGAGCGATGGGAGGGTGGCTGCCATCCCACCAGACCCTCGGCCTTGCCCCTGGCTCTGCCCCGCCGTACCCGGGCCTGCTGCGAGTGCCTTGACTTCTCCCCATCTCAGGATTTGCTCCATCACCAATTACGGGGTGATGTCCCGGCCCAGAGACGTGGGGAGGCTTCGTTAACACCAGCGAAACACCCCAGTGCCTTTTGTTCCTCCGGGATTACCTGTAGCGTACGAAGGGCTGGATGATTAATGCCAAGCGTGTGCGTCTTCCAAGGCCGGGCAATTCCCACTGTGTCAGCAACCTTTTGAAAGAGCTGCCAACAGTGAGACTTGAAAGGGTGCTTAGGTTTGGGTTTGTTTTGGTCTTTTGGTTTGGTTTTCCTCTTTCTTTTTTTTTTAAAGATGCTTTTGAGATGTTGGGAGGCTCAGCTTTGTACCACCCCTGCTCCTTGGGCACCGAAACCCGAAGGGATTGATTCAAAAAGAAATGGTGTTTCCAATGCTACCTGCTGGATTAGGGACTTTCTGCTCTGAAGCAGCATGGACTTTGTGGGTGTCTGGAAAGATCCTTGGAGCATCTTCTCCCTGGGTCAGGGAATCATAGAATGGTTAGAGTTGGAAAGGACCTTAAAGATCATTGATTTCCAACCTCCCTGCTCTGGGCAGGGAGACCTCCCACCAGACCAGGTTGCTCCAAGCCCCATCCAGCCTGGCCTTGAACCCCTCCAGGGATGGGGCAGCCACAGCTTCTCTGGGCAACCTGTTCCAGGGTCTCGCCACCCTCACAGCAAAGAATTTCTTTCTGGTATCAGCTGTCAAGGCAGGGGGTTAATGAGGGGAGGACAATGGAGCATCCCATCCCTCTCCCCAGGATTGCCAGGGATGGGTGCCGGTGGCTCTCGGTGCCATCTGCCATAGCAGCTCCTGCGTCAGCATCCTTTATGTGCTGATGATCTGTGCCTGAAACTATACCCTGGGAGTGGAAACGCGCCTGAGAAAATATCTTCCGCAGTCCTTCTGGGGTTTATATAAACACTATTTAAAATTAGCGTCACTCATTATGTTGGTATGTGCATTTACCTTGACCTCTGACTTTTCTGCCTGCAAACGTGCATGGCCCAGCACAGCCTACGAGTTAGGGGAGAGCTCAGGAGCGGAGGGGAGGCGTATTTTCTATAATTAGCTCAAGGTAAAGGAGCTGGTACAGTATCTCCCCTCCAGGCTGACGGGGAGACCGAAAACAAAACTGCAGCCCTGTCAAAGCCTGGTCTGGCTTTGATCAGGAACGTCAGCGCTGGTTTTGAGGGAAAGGGGAAGAGCAGCGATACTCTGCCACAGCTTTTCTTGCATGTGTTTGCAGAGAAATGAATGATTTCTCTTTTTTTTATTATTTTATTTTTTATTTTCCCATGCCTCGGTCTCTCTCCCTTGCTATTTACCAGCCAAATCCACACACAGGCAATTTATATTTTGCCACCGTCTCGGTTGTCACCCTGGAATAGCTGCCGGTATTGTCATGGAACAATATTTCTACTATTTGTTGTGGTAATAGTCGTTAGTGGCAAAGCAATTAGCGTGTCACCTGCAGCACGAAGAAATGTGACCTCTTTCTCTCCCTGCACCCCCTTGGTGCCCGAATCGGGGAGCTTTGGGGCTGATGCCATATGGGGCTGGGGGGTCGGTGCTGGGGTGGGACGCCTGGGGAAGGGGATGGAGGAGGCAGGAGCGGGCTCTGCCTCTCTCTGCTCAAAGGCTTGGGTTTGGGGGATTTAATTTGCGGGCAGAAAAGGCGTCCCAGTGGGGATGCGCCGTAGCAATCCAGCGCTTCGATGGCTCCCGGAGCTGGAGCTGGCTCCCCCCCAGTTTCCTGTTGACGTCACCTGCTATTTCGCTCCGCTGCAGTTTTTACAACTGTTGAGCTTTCAAGGGTAACCGGAGCAGCCCAGACCGGCCAACCCCGGCAGCTGCCCATGAGGGGACGCGGCTCTACCTTCCCCGTCTCCCCCCCTTCGCCAGCCCCACGGACCCCCGGGGACGCCGGGCAAGGAGGAGACCTGCGTGAAGCCGCCGAGCTCCGGGCCATGCATTCCCACCGAAAATAATCATCAGTCTTTGCAAGAAGTGCCGTGTGCTGGATCCTGCAGGATAATTTTTGGTTTTGGTTTTTTTTCTTTTTTTTTTTTTTAATTTTTTTCCCCTCCCTCCCTCTTCCATCCCGCCCCCATCCCTCTCTCCGGCCGGGCCCACGGGTGCTGTGCTTCATTTCTGGGAAACCATGGACAAGAAGCAAGGTAGATGTTGCAATTTCCAAAAAACACGTGGTTGGGGGAGAGCGAAGGGCTGATTCTGGTGCTTGAAGGGACTGTGTAACTTTATTTTTTTTGGGAGGGGGGTCAATCCCTGTGTTTTTACTTCTTTCTCCTTGCTTGGGCGGGGGCTTGGTGTTTGCAGCCGGGGATCTATTTTTAAAGCACTGAAAACTTGCATGATTTGCCTGGGGTTGGAGCGCTGGCATCCTAATTGTAAAAAAAATAAAATAATAATAATAATCTAGCATGGCTGAAGGAAAATAGCCGAGGGTAAAGCCAGCTCCTGGCTCCCTTTTTGGTTGCATTCCGGGGACGCAGGGTTTTGCAGCAGCTCCTGCGTGGTCGTCCCCTGCTAAAAAGCCTGTTGCTTTTGGAAAGGCGGGCAGCCGCCCCGGCAGTCAGGAGCTCTGATTCAGCACAGGCTGACAGGTTGTTTTTGGGGCTGCAAGGGGCTTTTTTTCTGAAGAGTGTTTTTTTCCTCCTCCTCCTCCTTCTCCTTGCCGGCTTTTCTGTTTTTTTTGCAGAAGTGGCGAGCGCGGGGCGGTGATGTCCCGCAGGAGCCCTCGCTGCAGCGGGACCTCAGGGCCGATGAGTGACGGCTTTCGGCAGGTTGAGAGCCCTTTTTCCACTTCCACAGATAGCTCTTTCCACTCCCAACAGTGGAAAATAGCACAAAGTGTGCCTGTGAGGAGCTGGCTCTCGTGACCAAAGCAACCAAATTCCCCTCTTTGCTTTGCACCCTGCCCCTAACTTCTTTCTTTCTTTTGGTTTTATAATTTTTTTTTTCTTGATGCATTTTTTTTTTTTCTTGATGCTTTTTTTTTTTTCCTTGATGCTCTTTTTGTTCCAGCTCTTTCTTTTGCAGCAGGGCTGGGATCCTCCCTCCAGCCTTCTGCCCCGTCCATGGCTTTTGACTCTCTTCCTCAGATCGAGGAGAACTGGGATGCATCCCAATTTATTTTTTTCCCCACCCCAAAAAGTGGCTCCTGTGCTACCACCATCCCCAGGGCTTTACCTGGGGCTGGAACCAGAGCCCTGGGGAGGCAGCGGGAGAGGTTTAATTTCAAAGGTCGGCTCGGGCAAATAGTTTTATTTACAGTTCTTTAGATTGTCCTGTTCGTTTCTCTCCGCCCACGCCAGCAGAGTGGGAAGGATAAACCTCCCGGGGAGAGGTGCAACTTAATAGGACTGAAGTCGGTGGTGGCAAAGACGAGGAGGATTCAGATGTTGAATTAAGCCGTTCCAGGAAATGTCTGTGTCAGTTCTTGGCTGGCGGAGGTTAAAGCATGAGAAAAAAAAAACTGGTTAGGTTTTTGTTTTTTTTTTTTCTTGAGGAGGAAATGGTTCCTTTCTTAGCATAAAGGATGCAGTTACGTGCCTGCGGCATCACGTGGGTTACAATCTCCTCCGCACCAGGAACTTCTGTCAGCTAATTTTCCCCTGCCCGGCTGCAAGGCACTGTGTGGCCGTGTCCCTGTGGCTGGTAGCCCTTTCTGCTGCCCAGTGTGCCACACTGGCATCACCCAGCCATCCTGGGTGCTCGGGGCTGGCAGCAGAGCCCTGGGGCTCACAGGGGTAACCGGGATGTGTCCCCAAATCACCGTGTCCCACTGCTGCCCATGTGGAGGGATCTCTAGAGGGGAGCTCTCTGCTTGCAGCCACCCCTCTCGCAGGAGCCCCGTGTCCTGGGGAACTGGTGGGTTTCCAGCATTTTCAGGTGACATAAACTGCTAATAGCAATTCCTCCTGGGATCCCAACTGTGGGAGAGCGGGTGCTGAGGCCTCGCTGGTGGGAAGGAGCTGCCAGCAGCTGCCTGCGGGGGCTAAAGGCAAACACTGCCCTGGGATGTCCTCTGGGTGGAAGGAAATGAACTGCAGGGTCTTGTCATGCTCATCCCAGTGCCTTATTGTGCCTCCCATTTGATTTTCCTCTCCCTTCCGGACTCCAAGTCCTTCCTCCACCCTGGAACAGTGCGTGGAACTTTCCCAGGGGGGGCTGCAGGAGCTCAGGAGCCAGGGCACCTCCCGGGGGGGGTGATGCTTCCAGCCTGGGGGGCTTGCAGCAGGCAGCCTGGCAGCCTCCGGCCACTTGGGAGGCGATGGCTGGGCTGTGCTGAGCCCCCACCTCCCATCTTGGGGTTCTGCCTGCCCTCAGCAGGCGTTTTTGCCTTTTTTTTTTTCTTTTTTTTTTTTTCCTGGCCATGCTCAAGGGGAAGCGGTGCCTGCCCACTCATTCTCTGCCCAGCTGGACCCGTGCTGCTGCCGCACGCAGCGGGAGAAGCTTGTGAGCAAGAAGCTGGAGTTGGGGCCAGCCCGCAGGGTGCTGGGAAAGCTCAGGGTAAATTTTTGGGAGAGCCATTAACAAGCGAATCCAATCTCCTCCTGGGCTCCCCCGGCTGCAGGGCAGCATCCTGGCTGATTTTATTCCTGCGGGCATGGACTGAGCTGGGTTTTCCACCGGTGTAGGTGGCCCAGGCAGAGCCTGGGAGTGGTGGCAGAATACCTCTGGTTTAATGGGTGCTTTTTTGGGTTGGAGCGAGGAAATGTGTTGTGGGGCTAAAGTGTGACAGGGTGGGAAGGGGATTGTCACTGGCCCTGGCAGTACGATGCTGGGAAACGGAGGGCAGCAGGTTTGGGGTTACAGGGAAGCAGACTGATGTGCAGGACCCCCATTATAGCAGAGTCCATGGGGGATGATCAATGCACAGAGATGTTAAATGACTCTCCTATATGGAGTAGGGGCTTGTAGTGGGCAATCTCCCCATCCCTTGCTGCCCCTCTAACCCGTGCTTGCAAATCCTCCTGCCTGTGGGCTTGGGCTCCACCGAACAATGCTCCCCATTGATTCCTGACCCTGGGCCGGGTGCTCCGGGCTCCCTCTGGCCTGGCTTTTGTAGCCAGGGCTAAGGAAGGGCTGATGCTGCGGGACGCCGGGCTCGGGGAGCCTGTGGACCCTGCTCCCGCTGCCTGAGTCACCGCGCCGCGGCCGGCGCTGCCACAGAAGGTGCTTTGTGCCGGCTGCGGGATTGCTATGGCAATGGGGGAGAGGGAGAGCAAACAGATGAAGCAAAATACCAGCCGTGTTGGGAGGCATTTCAGGGCTTCGTGTAGAGATCTGGCTGGTAACTGCGTGGTGGTGGGGGGAGAGCTGCGTGCGAACTGTTGTCTGTGTTTTGGAGCGGGTCATGGGGGAGAAACACTCGGTGCAAGGCTCCTGGTCGGCAGTGAGCTGAATCCATCCCCCTGGATGGGATGGGATGTGTGCCCACGGTGAGGTCCCCAACTCATCTCGGTGCTGAAGGACCTTGGGGACACCAGTTTTTATGTTCTATGGTCAGCCCCCCCCACGCTGAGTAGCAAGAGGCTGGGGGTGGGAAGGGGAGGCATTTTGGAACCAGTGGACATCATCTTTCCTTTGGCTTCATTTTGCATTTGCTCCCATCGTTGCTCAACCAGGTATTTTGCAAAGTGTCTTCAGTGGCCATGCTGGGTTGTTGATAGTCCCCCCTCTTCCAGCCCTGCTGGGTGGGCGATGGGGAAGGGGAGATTTTGCAGGCTCACAAATTAGAAGCTGTGATTGCCGTGGCATGGTCAGGCCTCCAGATATAGTTCCCAGCCAAGGGGAATTGGTTTGGGATGGCGTGGCTCACTGGCTGGTTTCATGGAGCTGGTTTCATGGAGCTCATGGGAACTGTGCTGGTTCCAGACCTTGTGGGCTGGCTCTGATGCAGGAAAGGTGACAGATAAGATGGGGATACAGGCTGAATCCGTGCTGATTCCCTCAGCAGGGAGGGATGCTGCTGGTCCCGCTGGTGGGACCTTGCAGTATCTTGCAGACCAGCTTTCACCTGCAGCCTTGGCGAGGTTTGCGTTTGGGGAAGGACAGGACTGGAAAAGGGGGAGGTTTCAGGCACCCATCTAATTTGAGGCATCGGGGGGGGATGCTGGTGGGGGAGAGGGATGGGGATGGAGACTGTCTGTGCTGGGAACGGGCTGGACATGTGTGGTCCTGTCCCGCTGCTGTGGGAGCTCTCACATGGTGCTGAGATCCCAGCTCCTCGCCTCTCCCCTCCCTTTCCTGGCAGCCTTTGGAGCGCTGGACTTTGTCCGCACGCCTGTTCCCGGGAGCCAGGCGAGCAGGAGCTGTTTGGAAGGGCTGTCCAAGGCCACACTGAACCCATTCCCAGCCCTCTGCCCGGAGCACACCTCGCTCTCCCTGCTTTTTAATGCATCTCCCAGGTCTGTGCAGCCAGAAGCGCCTTTAGCTGCCGAGCGCAGCTGCCCCCTTGTCTCTTGGGGGGGGAATCAGGGTTTTGATGGTCCCAGCTGTGGCACTCTAGCCCACATCCCATTTTCCCAGCTCACTGGGGTGAGCTGTTTGCTGATGGAGGAACGGTTGGAGCTTCGGTGAGCAGCCTGGGGACCGTGGCACTGCAGGGAGCTGATTCTCAGCCCTGCACAGGTCTCTCCTGCCCATTGCTGCCTGCTGCCCCCCCAGCCTGGTTATCTCTGGTCCCTGTGGTCTCATCTGTGAGTGTTTGGCCTGTCCTGGAGCTGCCTGCACCCCGTTTCCCCCTGCAGCAGCGGGTTATGTTATCTCGGTGCTGTTTGGAGTTGGGGAGGAGCGGGAAGAGAGAGCATCCTCTTGCCAGTCACTCCTGATGGGGTCATGCGTTGTGTGGTGGGGTCTCAGCCCCTGCAAGTCTGGGTTTGTGGCCAGGTCACAGTCAGCTCACCTCTGGTTTTGCCTGGTTTCCCTTTGTCAGGCGTGGGGTGTCCCCTTGCCTGCTGGGAGTGACTCCGTGGTTTTGCTGGAGCTCTGGTGGCCATCACCCTCCGTGCCAGATCCGACCCACGCTGCAGAGTGGCTCCAGCTCTCCCCAAGCAGTCCTGGGTGGGGGTTTGTGGGGCAATGAGGGGCTAGAGGAGGGAAGTGTTTTTGGGAGCGTGGCTAATGGCGTGGGGACCTCTTGTGGCTGGAGAAATGGGGATCTGGCCAGGCTGGGCTGGGCTCCAGAAGGCCTTCTGTCTGTGGCACGGTGGGGATCACTCTCCTCGGTGTGTGGGACCACGTGTGGGACCTCCCTGTGTGGGGGACCGTGAGGGATGCAGGGCTGGTACCCAGGTCATCCGGAGCATGAGGGCTGAGCTGGTGTCTCCCTTCTCTCTTTCAGATTCCAAAGGATCCTTGGAGCCGCACAAACCGGGTAAGCCCCAGCAGAAACCCCAGCTTTAACCCATCTCCTCAACACCAGCAATTAAAGTCCCTGAAGAGAGGGGACTGATAATGGCCATGAAGGGTAAAGAGCACTTTTGGGGTGTCTGCAAGGCGGTGCGTGGCTGCAAGACTTGGAAAATGGTCTCTGGCAGTGCACCCCTGGGTACTTCTGCAGGCAAGTGCTCGACAGGGACATTGAGACCCACTTGTGCTTCTGGCTTTTGCCTGAAATTTTGGGCGAATGGTTCTGAGCACCATGACCTTGTTGGCATCTTGCTGTAGCTGCACAGTGTAGGGGGTCCAGGCCCTGCCTCCCCTACCTGGTGGCTGCAGGCAAGAGGATGCTTGAAGGAAGTAAAGTAAAAGGGCCAGTTGCTCACATGTGCATCTTCTCTTCCAGTGAAAAGCAAGAAGAAACGGGAGCTGAGGATAACATGTGTCCCCATCAAACAGCCCGTTGCCAACACAACGTAAGTGTCTCCGTTGCTCTTTGGTTCTCTAGAGCTGGATTCAACACCGTGTCAAGGGGAATGGCCTGTGTAGACTTTACAGGATCAGGGGTAGTTAATTTTTTCCCTTAAGCTCTGGCTTGCAGGTGATGAGAAGGAGTTACACACATATGCACATGTGCATGCATACATGTACACAGTGTATATGTATGCATGCACATAAGGCCATATGTTTGACCTTAAATGGCTGAAAGGCAAAGGGTAGGAGTCTGCTGGGAGACTTTCTTCAGTCTTCCTGCCATGTCTGTGCCAGTGCCAAAGGCTGAAGACACAGTAGAGAGGGAAAATCTATCCAAGAGAGGAAGAGGGAAAAGTTTTTAATGCGGGGGAAGAGAAGAGGTGGTGGCAGCTCAGCCATGGCAGGAAGGGGGAGATGAGGGTTGGGAGCATCCTCCCCCTGACCTGTGTGTTGGGGCTAGTTTGAGTTGTTGATGTGGATGTCTTGCATTGCTGTGCCACGCACCACTTGGTGTCGGGGGCTGGTGCCCAGCTGTATCTCAGGGCACTGGAATTTCTCTCTGCCCTGTTTGTTTTGTGCAGCTGATGCTTGTTATGCCTGGGGCAGTGGCACTTGGTTTGACAGAGAGCAGATGGCTTAAATTCTTCTTCCATGGTGCTCTTCCAAAACACCTTAGGCTGCATCTCCACTGCTGAGCCTTGTTTGCTCCGGAAACCCTTTCTAGAGACCCAAGAGAGGAGTGAAATCCCTGAAGGGGAAATACCACTACCAAAAACCCCAGGTAGATAGGGCAGATCTGTCAGAGGGGGAGCCAGAGGAAGTCCCCCATTAATGCCGTGCCTGCACACACCAAGCCCTGCCTGCAACGGCGACCTGCTTCCCCCACGGCTGCATCTGTCCCTGCTCCTATCGGTGTTTGAATTTTCCCTGGAGAAGACATCACGCCAGAGTTTGTGGGGCGCTTGCATGCACAGAGCTCTCCCATGAAAGCTGGTGGAAGCCATCCACAGCTCCTTTTCTCTGCGCTTTTCAAGCTGCAGTGCAAATATTTGCGCAGCGCAAGGCGCTCGCCGGGAGCCTGAAGCACTTCCTTGAAGCCGGAGGTGGCTCTGATGGGAACTGGGTGGCTAAACCAGTTGGGCGATCTCCTCCGCTCTTAAAAGGTCCCAGGGGATGGAGGGGGGAGCAGAGAAACGAGGCACAAAAGGCCTCTAGAAGTCCCCTGCTGCCTAGAATGGGAAGTGGGCAGCAATGAGGAAAAAAAAAGCCATAAAGGAAGGAACATGGCCTGCGCGGTGTTGTGCAAAGGGTGACACCGAAGCGGTGCCCGCTCTGCGACAGGCCTGCGAGTGTACACAAATGACTCACGGGTGAGGAATTACCTGCTGTTCCCTCGGCGTGCGTTTCGGGCTACGTGGCTGTCCTCTTACAACGCCTGCCTGTCAAAACGTGACAGCTGAGCCACAGAAATTTCTGCTGCAGAAATGGCTCATCCCTGTCCGTCTCGCTTCCTTGGGCTCCCAAGAGGGGATGGTTTTGTAGCCAGTTGGTTTGATGGGTGTCTCACCTGGGGTTCCTGCTGGCTGCAGGCAGCGAGTGCCTCCTGGGTATGGGCTGAGGTGTTCCTGGCAGGATTAAAGCATTTGTGAGTGTTTGGAGGGGCCAGTTTGAACCCAGGACAAGGCAGAGCGGGGGGAAAAAAGGCAGCTGAAAGTGCTCACAGGAACATGAAACCTGGCTCTGGCCAAGAGGGTTAATAAAGCTGGGCTTTTTCCCTGATTCTCTCTCTTTTCTTGCAGGCCCCCGAGGAACTTGGACTCCAGAGCGTTCATTACCATCGGAGATAAAGTACGTGCCAATGTGGTTCATTTTTCACTTTCTTCTGATTTTGTTTGCCCTTTGTATGGGAAGTTTATGGATTGTGCCTGTCAACCTCTCAAATCAAACCTTGAGATTTTGGAGCGCTCCTTGAGGAGGACAGTGCTGTTCTAGTGCAGCCTCATAGAATCGCCCAAGTTGGAAGGGACCTTCAAGATGGGATGCATCCTTGCAGGGATGACACATCCCACAGCAGGACCTTTCCCCTGTTGGAGCAGTGGGGTGTCTCTGTGTGTTTAGAGCTGTGACATGTCACCCTGCCTGCAGGACAGCTTGTCTCTGAGCCTGTGTGCTCGCTGGCTGGTCTCTCCTGCCTACGGGCAGTCCTCCTGCCAAAGGCAAGGTGTGCAGTTTTGTCTGTAGTGGGAGAACACAGTGGTCCCTTGACAGCCCCATTGGCCACCTTGATCTGAGTGCATGGACCCAGCCCCTCTGTCCTAAATCAGCGTGGCCTCACCATGCTCTCTGGCTGCCCCAAACAAAGTCCCCTTTTGTCCTGCTGACCTGCAAGGCCATGTTACTGCCCATGGCTCAGGAGGCCCTGGGCACAAAGCCTTCTTCCTGGCTCTCCAAAGCCTTTCCTAATGACCTGATGAAAAACACTGCTAGAAATAGCCACTCTCTCTCTTTTATTTCATTCTCTTGTTACGGGCTCTCCTGGGGCTGCAGAAGGCTGCTTGCAAACGAGCTAAAAATACCATGCATTGGCTCAGCCCTATATCTGCTTAACTTCCAGGCTGGGTGGTGGCTTGGCTGGTGGGATCTGGGCCCCTCGGCCTCGGTGCAAGGTTTTAGGGTTAGGGGACAGAGGGGAGAGGAAGCTTTGGCTGGGTCCATGGAAATGAGCCCACTGCCTGTGTCATTTTCTGGCCATTGTGTTGTGTGTATTAATAGCTCAGGGAGAGATGCTCCGGGCATGGTGTGTGCAACAGGAGAGTGCTGTAGCTTGGGGAAAGCTCTCTAAGAGTCGCCTCTTTCCCTGCTCTGCCTGCACTGGTGTTTGCAGGAGTGGTCTGGTCCAGGTGTTTTTGGAGCGGCGCAGTGTGGGATGGAGGAGGAGGGCTTGTGCAGAGGGCTTTGGGGGTGGATGATGACCTGGGGTCCATTGGATCCGTGCAGGTGATGCCGTGTGTCCCTGTTACCACCACAATATCCCCAGGGCAGGGGGTGGGCGATGTGGGGGCTCTGTGGGTGCATCACTTCTGTTGCTGGGCAAGGGGCAATGCTGGTTCCCAGAGCGTGCTGGGAACCAACAGCTTTTGGGGAAGCCTTAGGGTAAATGCCAGGAAAAAAAACCCCGAACAATAACCTGGAACGGCTGCAAAACACGTGTCCTGAAAAGCACCACCAGATCCTTCCTGGAGGCCCCTGCAGGAGCTGTGAGCCTGCACTGCTCCTCTGCCAGCTGCCCTGGGGCTGCGGGGTGGGGGGTTGGATGCATCCCCTGTTTGCCCAGCTTTCCTCGTTTCTGGATCCACCGTCCTGCCCAGGAAAGGGCCGGCACTTTTCCTGTGCCGGGCAGCGCATAGCTCAGCGCTGAGCTCAAGGCACAGACCTCTCTTGCTCCCTGCCTCAGCCTCCTGCCAGGCACATCTGGCTCGAATAAACAGAGCCGGGGCTGGTGGGGATGGGCTGGTGGACCTGGTCGCTGCTGGCCATGCTGTGGCCAGCACTGAGGGGAGCTTGCTGGCCGGGAACCCGGCATCTACATCTCCCAGCTTGGCTCCTTAACGCCAAAGGCTTGTTTCCTCTCTGCTCTGGGTGTAGCTCGCAGGCACGGTATCCGGCGCTGTGCCGTGGATGTTTCCCACCCTCACTGCCTTTGTGGCTACTGGGGCAGTTTGGCATCCTGGTATTATATTTTTGTTCCCTGAGACCGGAGGAAAACTGGAGGCTGGATAAAGCCTGGCTAAAAGAAGGGCTGTGACTTATTAGGAGGGATGAAGGCAGCGTCCAGAAATAGCCCGTGTCTCACTCAAACAGTTTGTGCCCTGCCCAGCAGAGCGGGCAATTACAGGGTAACACGTCTTCAGGGAATCTTGTCGGTGGCTTGTGCAGGAGCTCGCTGGCTCCCCGCAGCGTGGGGCACTTGCTGGTCTGAGCACTTGGCAGTGGAGCTCGCTGGCTCCCCGCAGCGTGGGGCACTCGCTGGTCTGAGCACTTGGCAGTGAATTTTTTTATTTTTTTATTTTTTCCCATCTTGAAGCGAGATTTATGTGTTTAATTTTTTTATTTTTTTTATTATTTTTTTTTCCATCTTGAAGCGAGATTTATGTATTTGCACTCGCCTGAGCTCCTTTGGTGGTGCTAAATCCTGTTTTACCTCGCTGGCTGCTTTCTGATGGCGGGAGAAAGCACCAAAAGCAGATAAAACCCATTTGAACTCCCTGATAATTAGGAATGGAGTTGCTGCGTGCACCATCCCATCTCAGAGAGGCTTTTGCACAGGAGGAGGTGTTATCAGACACGTAGGTGTGTTTGTGACCGATGATCTCCTGGGGTGTGGGGCGAGGTGGGGGATCCCCGGCCGCGCACGGGGATACTTGGAGCTGTGGCAGAGGTTTCCTGAGTGCTGCCCGTGTTGGCACAGGAGCTGTTAAAATGCTGCAAGTAGTTAATCAACTGCAGAAATACTCTTGTGGGGGTAATCCCGGGCAGGCAGAGAGGCACCAACCTTTGGTGCCCTTTCCAGTGGCAGCATGCCCTGGCTTACAGGATGGTAGTCCTGATCTCTAGCTGCAGAGGGAGAGTTAAATGAGCCCTGGTGAGTACAGGGTGAGAGGGATTTGGCTCTGGTTCAAAAGACCAAAAGAAAAATAGACTCATCTTCTCTAAGCGTGGTGCCTCTGGTACATATAAGAGCTGGTGGGGTCTTTTAGGTGCTGTCTTTTGGAAGTGCTCGGTGTGAATGAGCTGCAAGCATTGGACCTCTGCTGATGTCCTTGGTGATAAGCATGTCTGTGTCTGATATTTTTTTTTTTTTTTTCCTGTCTCTCTTCTTCAAGAACTTCGAGGTGGAAGCTGATGACCTGGTGGCAATTTCAGAGCTAGGCCGTGGGGCCTATGGCGTGGTGGAGAAAGTCCGGCACGCGCAGAGCGGCACCATCATGGCCGTGAAGGTGAGGAGAGCTCCTTGCTGAGGGAGATGGATGTTGGGACTTGCAGCTCCAAGGGAGCAGAGAGACTCTGCTGAACTCCACTAGTTGCAGCAAAAATAGGGACAGACTTGTCTCTATTTGGCAGCCTCTGGTGTCCCTGGTGGGGTTTGGCTGTTGGAGGGTCTGTACTGCTACCAGCTGGACGCTGTGGGATTGGCCAGCAGGCTCTGAAAGCCAGATTTGGTGCCTGCAGTTTAATAGTGCGAGGTTTGGGTGTCAGAGCACCAGTCCAGGCTGGGCCTGATCTTGCATCCACCGCAGAGCTTGCCAAGGGTTTGTCGTTCATTAAGGTTCTGTCTGGAAGAGGGAATCTGGGCATCTCCCAGGGTGCTACTGGCCACAAAATAAGCCCCAAACACTTGCCCTGGCCTCAGAACTGCAGGTCCTTTGAGTTAACCTGAGGAATAATGGTGTTATTCCACCTGAGTGAAACCCCTTTTTTTTCATATTTGTCTCAGAGGATTCGGGCGACTGTAAACACTCAGGAGCAGAAGAGATTATTGATGGACTTGGACATCTCCATGAGGACAGTTGACTGCTTCTACACTGTCACCTTCTATGGAGCCCTCTTCCGTGAGGTACGGAGCTGGTGGATGGCTGGTGGGTTGCACAGCACCTAGGGCCCCTGCGTTTGCACTGAAGGCACTAAACTGTCCCAAACCACCTCTGCTTTCTTCAGCCCAAGTGGGCTGTTTGAGATGCTGCCATGACGTAAAGTCAAAACCTTGCCTCCATCAGGCAGTGTTGAGCAGCTCCTGTTCCTCACTTCCATGGCAAGCGTTCAAGCACGTTGTCCATGGCCTGGACTGGCTTTGAGATAGACCCTCAAAGGGAATGATCACAGGTAGTTTTGCTGGTACCTGGACATCTGTGCCCATTACTATCCAGTGCAGAGCCCACGTGCTGATGGTGTGGCCAACAGCAGCTGTGTGGCAGGGACCTTGGCTTGCCCTGGGTGGAAAGGATGGTGTCTGGTTGTCCATCAGTCCCCACCTCTCCCTTCAGCTCCTGGGGATTTCCAGGGAATTCCCTCTCAACTGCTTTCTCCCTGTCTGCAGGGCGACGTGTGGATCTGCATGGAGCTCATGGACACCTCCCTAGATAAATTCTACAAGAAAGTACTGGAGAAGAAGAAAACCATCCCTGAAGACATTTTGGGGAAAATGGCTGTGTCTGTGAGTACTTCTTGGGTTCTTAACGTACTTTTGTGCATCCTTTGAGCTTGTTGGAGATCTGTGTTCAAGCCCACAGTGTGTGGAAAGGAGTGGTGTGTTTGCAGTGGAAAGCTGGTGCTGTGTGTGATTAACAGATACTCTTTTCCTGTGTTTGTTCCCAGATTGTACGGGCTCTGGAGCATCTCCACAGTAAACTGTCCGTGATCCATAGAGGTAAGTGCTGGATGGGGTTAGCGTGGTGTGGCTGGAGATCTAGCCTTGAACTAAGTCATGTGAGGACTTCTTCACAGGAAATGTGTGGTGTGTCCCTCTGGGATGCCTACAGTGGGGTCTAATGGTACTTGGGATCGTGGTGGACAGATTTGGATGCCCCAAGGCCTTTTCCTGATATGTATCCTTCATGCATCTGCTTGCATGATGTTCTCATTCTCCTTTCCAGATGAATATAATAACTGAATTCCTCACTATTTATATTTTTATGGGCATCTCTAGCTCTCTTTGAGTACAGAGGTGTGTCAAAGGTAGCTCTTGGGGACAAAATCCCCTAACCTCCCAAGGTCTACATGAAGAAGACCTTGCAAAACAGTGTAGCACTCGGGTCCTGTTTGTCCTCCTGGTATAGTTCCTTGTCTGGTTGTGGACAGATCACAATGGGCAGAGACAAGCTGTCCTGAGAACTTGGTAGAGTTGAGTTTTTAAGGCGGTGTTGGGTGCATAAACCTCTCCTGAGGAGCTGGGCATTAACTCCTCAACCTTTTATTTCAACGTTTTGACTTGCCTCATTAAAGAGGAGGCCTGTTTGGCCTGGAGGGGCACAGTTATAGCTTTACTTATGAGCAACTTTTATTGAAATAAGAGACTGGTGGGGTTTTATCTTCCTTCCCTAGTGTCAGGGCCTGCCTGGGAGGGGTCCCAGCTCGGTGGGGAGGTTCCCTTCCCGTCTCAGGCTCCGCCATACCTCTGCAAAGGCTCAATCTGCCCTCTCATGTTCTCTCTCTTAGATGTGAAACCGTCCAATGTGCTGATCAACAAGGAGGGACATGTGAAAATGTGTGATTTTGGGATCAGTGGCTACCTGGTGGACTCGGTTGCGAAGACCATGGATGCTGGCTGCAAGCCCTACATGGCTGTAAGTGCGCTCGAGCGGGGCCGGACCAAGCAGCCTCCAGCTGCCTTCAGCCTCGAAGAGGCTGCTGCTTAGAAATGGGTCTTGGTTCACCTCTGTCCTGAGATAGAAACCACTTCAGAGTGCTATGGGCTTCGGCAGAGTCCTCCAAGGACAGGATTTACCCTCCCCATAAGCCCTGCTCTGTGTGTTAATCCCCCAGCAGACTCTTCCTCTGCCACCTTCCATTTGCAGAAGGATAAAAGACTGGCTTGTGGTGGTTGGAAGGGCTGCTCCTTGTTGGCTAGGAAAAGCTGAGGCTTTTCCTGGCAGAATCATTTAATTTCATCCTCTCAAGTCAGTATGAATTTCCCTTTGCCATCTGTGGCATCTGTGTGGGTAGCTTGTGCTCCTGGGGCAGAGATCATGGTGCAGGGAGAGTATATGTCTTACTCAGGAGCTGGGGGGGAGAGTTTAAGTGGGTTGTGTGGAGCAATCAGTGCTAGATTTAACCTCAGACACTGAGCGGGGCCGGACCAAGCAGCCTCCAGCTGCCTTCAGCCTCGAAGAGGCTGCTGCTTAGAAATGGGTCGTGGTTCACCTCTGTCCTGAGATAGAAACCACTTCAGAGTGCTATGGGCTTCGGCAGAGTCCTCCAAGGACAGGATTTACCCTCCCCATAAGCCCTGCTCTGTGTGTTAATCCCCCAGCAGACTCTTCCTCTGCCACCTTCCATTTGCAGAAGGATAAAAGACTGGCTGGTGCTGGTTGGAAGGGCTGCTCCTTGTTGGCTAGGAAAAGCTGAGGCTTTTCCTGGCAGAATCATTTAATTTCATCCTCTCAAGTCAATATGAATTTCCCTTTGCCATCTTTGGCTTCTGTGTGGGTAGCTTGCGCTCCTGGGGCAGGGATCATGGTGCAGGGATACTATAAGTCTTACTCAGGAGCTGGGGGGGAGAGTTTAAGTGGGTTGTGTGGAGCAATCAGTGCTAGATTTAACCTCACACCCTGCCTTCATGGGGATATGAGGCAGGGGAATCAACCCAACCTGGATGTCGAAGCAGAGATTTCCTCTGTGGGGTTTGCCCTGGGAAAACGAGATAGAGTTGTGATGTCTTCCATTTTGCTGTTACAGCCCGAAAGAATAAACCCTGAGCTGAACCAGAAGGGCTACAACGTGAAGTCGGACGTCTGGAGTCTGGGGATCACAATGGTAATACCGAGGGCTTGGACCAGCACCCTGCAGCCCTGGGGCTGGGATGGGGTCTGTACTGGTGGGGCTCTAGCCCCACCACGAGCAGTGGTGTCTGGTGGCTTCCCCCCTGGGTGGATGCCCACCAGAAGGGGCTAAATTCTGAGCACGGTAGCTCAGGGTATGGGATGAGTTACCCAGGGCACAGGGTGGTGGTGCTGCACTGTGCACTCAGTGGTACCTCACCCTGGGGTGAGGTGGGCATTGCCCCCCTCTGCAGCAACTCTTGCTGAGTCTGCCCAGCTTTTGCCCGGAGATGATCCATCTTCTGCCTCTTCCTTTGTCTCCTCTCCCTTCTTGCACGTTCCTGCTGGATCCTGGGGGATCGTAAAAGCCCACGTGGTTCCCTTGTACCCTTCTGCTTGGTTTCATAGAGCTACTTGTGTACAATGCCAGCTCCAATAGCACCAGTTAACTCTGAACTACGTTGGTGTGGATGGCAGACTCCAAGGGGGCAATATCTGGGTGACAGTGGGCTTAGTTGGGCATCCGAGACTGGCTTTTAGTTGCTCTGCAGCTCCCCATGAACTGGCTGGAGAGGCAGCCAGTGGAGCAGGGTTTGCTGCAGCTGGGTCACAGCTTTCCTGGGTGCTCCCCCCTCCCGTGTTGGCAAAGCCTTGCAGGAGGATGGGGGCGAAATAGCCTGTCCTGCTGCAGCCAGGGGTGCTGTGCATGGTTTGCAGCAAGTCCTGCCTGCAGGAGAGCTCAGAGCAGCCAACAGGAAGGGGAAATGCTTTCAGTTCCAAAATCGCAGCTGCTCAGGATGGTTTATCTACCTCCTGCAAGAAACGGATCTTGCAGAAAGCAGCTGAAATCTGCTGGCGCCAGAGGACAAAGGAAATCCCAGATGTTGGCTCGAAGGGGATGCCGCCTGGGAACGCGTCTCCTGCTTTCCAGGAGACTGTCTCTCTGTGGGTTGATTATTTTCAGGAATTATTTTCAGCTGTGACTTTGTTTTGGGTGCTGCATCCTTGTGTTTGCCTACGCTGCCCAGATCTCTCAGCAAACGTTCCCTCTTCCCCAGCTAGTTTTGTCCACAGTGCCAGACCTGAGCCCCTCTCCTTGGTGTCTCTAATGCCACTGCAGAGCTGGGCTGGCTGGAAATGTAATCAGTTCCAGCTTTCCTCCCGAGATGCAGGAAGCTGTGGGATGGGAGATTGCATGAATGATGAAACCTCTCAACTTTTCCAAAGCTGGATGGGGAGAGGGGACCTCTCTGAAAGCCTGCCAGCCTGCAGCTGAACGGGGCCCCGACCTGTCTGACTCCCTCTAATGTTTTCCTCCTGAGCTGGCTTCTGGTTTTATTTATTTATTTATTTCTGAAGGGGTTTGATTGATTTCAGACTGTCTGGTTTTAGTGCCCTTGAGTTGCAGGTTGAAGGGGTTTGATTGATTTCAGACTGTCTGTCTGGTTTTAGTGCCGTTTAGTTGCAGGGCTAATCCAGGCCTTTCCAGGCTGGTGGCTTCGTTCAGTTTTCCAGCAGCAGGAGCTCAGCTCCTGAGGCAAAGGCAGGAGGGGGTCCCTGGTTGTGCCCTGCATCCTTTCAGCCTTCCCATCCCACCTCGTCCCACCTTGCCAGGCAGGTCTGGAGGTTCTGCTCCCTGTCTCCAGATGGGGACACAACCCTTGGTGTGAGGTGACTGCTCAAGAGCTATTAGGGGCTTTTTCCTGCTTGAATGGGTGACAGAGCGGAGGTGACTTGTAGGAAGGACCCCATAATGGAGGTGGTTTGGCAAAGATCTTCCTAAATGGGGTTCTAGCACTTAGTTTTTCTTGGGTATGTGGATTTTTTTTTTTATGTCTAGCTTGTACAGTACTAGTCTGAAGCCCAGGGGCTGTCTTAAGGAGAGCAAAGCACTTTGGAAGCTGGAGCAGAAATGGCGTGCTGTTATTATCTTTTCAAATAATCCCATTTTACATATCTTTAGTGGCTTCCTGTAAATGCATTAATATGCTGAGCTAGCCTCAAAAGGAAGTATTTCTGGCCTCTGGGTCTTTGTATTTAAAAAAAAAAAGAAAAAGAAAAGGTGGTATGACCCAAATTGAAAATGGTTTATAGGGAAAAGAGGGTTTTCATTTTGAATCCGAGCTGGCTGCAGCAGCTGAGGTGGTCAGGCTGCGGGGGGTTGTGCTCGTCTCGGTGTCTCATGTCAGTCTGTCTCCATTTTCAGATTGAACTGGCCATTCTTCGCTTCCCGTACGAGTCCTGGGGGACCCCCTTCCAACAGCTCAAGCAAGTGGTGGAGGAGCCTTCGCCCCAGCTGCCCACCGATCGCTTCTCCAAGGAGTTTGTGGACTTCACGGCCCAGTGGTGAGTCTCCAGCAGGGACTGGTGGCTTCTCCAAGCCTGGCTGAAGAGGAACCCTGACCCATGGGGGTTGGAGCAAAGCATGGGACTGGGTTTGTCTTCCTTTGGGAGCCCATTTCTCTACCAAGGCTGGTGCTCAGCCACGGCAGGAAGCGCTGCCCAAACTGGTTTTGCTCTCAGCCTGACTCACCCAGGCTGGTTGGAAGGCACGGAAGTTTCTCTTCCCCTTTTGCCCTCGTTGCTGCTGAAATTTTGGTGGTTTCTGTCAAACGGCAATGAAACAAGAACAAACCCCTGGCAGTGTCCGGGTGCCTCTGGGTGAAAGCTGATTTGTGGTTTTGTGGGTACCGTGTACAGTAGCTTCTCCCCTCGGGGTGTCCTTCTGCTCCATGGGTGCTGCTTGGAGCTGCCAGGCAGGGGTGAGCCCACCAATGCAAGGCTCAAACAAGCCTTGAGAGTGGTCTACAGGTGGTAGGAAGCCATCTCCTCCCCTTCCCTGGTCTATTCTGGACTGAGTGGACAAGTGAGGCTGTGCAGGCAGGCTGCAGCAACCTGCTTGCCTCGTGCTCGTTGTGGCAAAACACCATGAGTTGGCTTTTCCCAGTTACCTGCCTGGACACTTTGCTGGTGGTTTCAAACCTGCTTGGCCCAGGAGGGAGAGGAATGGATGCTGCCCATGAGAAGGGTGTCATGTTGGCTGGGAAGGGGAGATCCCTGGTGATAGACCACATACAACAACAACAACAAAAAATCCTACAGCCTTTCTTGTTTCTTGTTTTCTGTCTTCCAGCTTAAGGAAGAACCCTGCTGAGCGAATGAACTATTTAGAACTTATGGTAAGTGCGAAGCCATTTCTGCTGGTCTTTATTGCAATGTGTTTCAAAAGTTAAATGAATGGTCCAGCAGGTCCTAGGAAAATGGGACAGCAGGACGTGGGGGTGATGTGTTTTTTTTTTTTCCAGGCACAGAGCGGGATAGGTGTAGTGTGTCTAAGGCGGGATGGGTGTAGCGTGACTAAGGTGGAAGGGTGTGTTGATTTCATGGGTGTTAAGGTCAGGGTTTCTAGGTGTTTTCTCCCTCTGTCCTATCTGCTCTCGGCGAGTTTAGACCTCAGATGATAGTAGTGCAGCTGCCAAGGTGGGCTGTCCCGCTGGGGTTGAGCCTAGAAACACCAAACCTGAAAGAGTTACTTAATCCTTAAGCTAAAGGGTGGTGTCTGTGGGAGTCTGGGGAGCAGGTTGGTGTCCACCTCTCCCCCAGCATGACATCCCCCAGGGACTGCTCTTGGGCTTGTCTGTCCTTGGGTGTCAGCTGACGTTGTCTTTGCTCTTGTTGGCAGGAACACCCTTTCTTTACTTTGCACGACACCAAAGAGACTGACATGGCCTCCTTCGTGACAGAGATCCTCGGGGAAGATTCCTAACTCCTCACGGCTTCGTGCAGTCCCCTCCATCCTGGCTTCCCCGCAGAAGAGCGAATGAGGACTCGAGTCAATGGTGGTTTGCACAAATCACACCTCCCCAACCTGTGGGCATCTCTGGCCCCATCTGGCCTCGCAATCTCTTTTCTCTTTGCCCTGTAAATGAAATCCCCCCCAGGATGAGCGTTTTGAAGCCAACACCTTTCCAGCTCAGCCATGGAGACCGAAGGCTCGGGACACCAGCGTATCCCTCCTGGGGAGAGGACCCTGCCTGAGGTGCCTGAGCAGGGCCAGGGCAGAGGGTGCCCGGGGGCATCTCCCTTCCTCTGCCCTCCCCTGCCCAGCACAGGGGTTTGTGTTTCTTTGCTGCCTGGGGAAGGCACAGAGAAGAAATGCTGCTGCGCTTGCCCCACTCTTCTCCCCTCCTGCCCAAAGCCCCTTCCCTGGCGTCTGGTCTCGCTCACCTTCCCTTTGTGCCTGGTTTTCCTGCCCCCAGGAGCCTACAGAGCTTTTTGGGGGGCTGTGGGGCTCCCTGGGCATGCTGCTGTTCAAACCAGAGGCTGCTTCAATGCCTGGCTCGACATCTTAATGACCCTTTGAGGCAGCACCAGAGCGGGCATCCCCCTCCCTCAATCGATGCGCCACTTCTTTGGGGGGAAGAAAAAGAAAATAAAAGGCATTTTTCGATGAGCCCACCTTGATGCAAGCTGCGACCCACATTCTCCCAACGTCTGCCCATGGGACTTCATCCCAAACACAGCGCTCCCTTCCCCACACGGGCACAAGGGGATGGAGAGACAAGCAGGTCCCCGGGCGCTGCTCCTCTGCCCCCCCAGCCCTGGGCTGGGAGGACTCATCCCCCCACATTCTCTGGAAAAAAAAAAAAAAGAAAAGAAAAAAGGCATTTTTTGGAAAAAAAAAAAAAAAAAAAAAGGCTTTTTTCAATGAGCCCACCTTGATGCAAACTGCGACCCACGTTCTCCCAACGTCTGCCCATGGGACTTCATCCCAAACACAGCGCTCCCTTCCCCACACGGGCACAAGGGGATGGAGAGACAAGCAGGTCCCCGGGCGCTGCTCCTCTGCCCCCCCAGCCCTGGGCTGGGAGGACTCATCCCCCCACATTCTCTGGGCATCTCTCGCCTTTTGCAGCCCCCCCCTCCACCTTCCCTGGCTCCTGGAGAAGACAAGACATTGCTCCATCTCCCTTCCAACCTGGAGCTGGTGTAAGACCTCGCACTGTGACACCGCTGGTTTCGGAGGCTGGACTTGCACCCCTCGTGTCCCAAACTGCCTTCGGACCCCTCCAGCTGCCCGACGGGGTGTCAGCAGAGACCCCCCCCTCCCAGTGACTCGCAGAGGGGGGCTGCCCACAGTTGTACATTTTATGTCTATATATAATGGACTTTGTAACATGTTGCCTAGTTTTAATCTAACTTGCTATAAATTAAAGCCCTTCTGCGTGGGAGGAGGGAGGAGCAGTTCCTTCTCCACTAACAAATCCACTGTGAAATCCTGATGTGTTTCCCACTCTCCCGGCCCCAGCGCTCTGCGAGGAGCTGTGGGAGCAAAAGGGATTTCTGTCTTCTACTGTATATGATCACGGGATAAACGCACCGGCTGTGGATTTTGTTGGGTTTTGGTTTTTTTAATAGATTGAATTTTCAGAGGGAGGTTGTTTTTTTTTTTTTTCCTCTTTTCTAATATATATATTTGTGTGTGTGTATGTGCGTGCGCTATATATATTATATATTTTTAAATCAATGATGAATGTGTGAATGTCTACCTGGCCAGCACATTTGGTGAAATGGCTAGCGTTTTTTCTGGCTCGATTTGCGGTGGTGGGGAAGGGGTCACTAGAAGACACCTTGGCCTAAGATTTTTTTTTTTTTCTAAAAAGAAACCTGTCTATTTTTTAAGTGAATCTTTTGAATACGTTTTTCCTGAAATTCCTGCCCTGGAGGTCTGGATTTCAGGGTGCATTTCCAGCGTTCAGGGTTGTGTCCACTCCCCTTCCACAATGAAGAAGGATGTCCCCTTAAATTCGTTGCTCCCCACTCCTGCAGCCAGGGGTTGGAAGGGGCGCTGGGACCCCTCTGCCTGTGGCAGGGCTGTTTGGCACCATTTTTCCTGCTTCAGGGCAGATGGTTTTCAGTCCTTGATGCCCCTGTGCTTGAGAAGGATGTCCCCTTAAATTCGTTGCTCCCCACTCCTGCAGCCAGGGGTTGGAAGGGGCGCTGGGACCCCTCTGCCTGTGGCAGGGCTGTTTGGCACCATTTTTCCTGCTTCAGGGCAGATGGTTTCCAGTCCTTGATGCCCCTGTGCTGGGACATGGTGCAGCAGCACTTTTCCTCCCCCGTCACCGCTCTGATCCCCTTCCCCGAGTCGACAAACCCCAAGAGAACCAGGGGGACAAACCCCCTTTGGCTGGGGTTTGACCCTGACACCCCCCACGCCTCACCTCTTTATGTAAAAATAAGAAAATGATTGATGTTTTCCACTTCTTCCTCCTCGGTCCTGCTCTGCAAACCACCCCGCGCTCTCTGGGAGCCCCCGAGCCCCCCGCACCCTGACCCGCTTGGTTTCACAGCTTTGCAGCTGAGATGTACAATTATATTTTATATATATATTTTTTCTCATAGTTGGTTACTTTGGATTGTTTTTTTGTTTTGATGTTGAGCTTTTGGTTTTGTTTTTTTTTTTTCCCTTCGCTCCTTCTTTTGACCCCTTTCCCCTTCCTTTATCTCACCCCCTTTTGGTGCTTTGGGGAATGGCAATTCTGAGTTTTATTTTGCATGGATTTTTTTCTTTTTTTTTTTTCCTCTGCATTTCTCCTCCTGGACAAAGTCCTGATTCCTGTATTTTGGGGAAGGGGAGCATCTGCCCTTTCAAACACTGGGGAGATGCCTCTGGGGTGGGCTTGGAACCCTGTGGTCTTACCTGTCCCTCTTCTCACCCAGTGCTTTCCTGTCCTGCTGGGTCCCCTCTGCCATGGCAGGGGGGGTGGCAGCTCTGGGGGGGGAACCAGCTTGGCTTTAAGGTGGAGGAGGATTTTCACTCGCAGCAGAAGCCCCTCTAGCCTTGTATTTTTGAGAACGGTCTGTACCCATTAAACCCAGTCATTGTTTTCAATAAAATTCACCCTCAAACCTGCTTCTTGTCACCTCTTTTGTTGCAGTTGGGGTGTCGGTGTTGGTCCTGATGCTCCTGAGCCCACCAGGGATGGGTGGGTGACAGCCCAGGAGGGGTCCTGCCACCAGTGGGCTTTCTCCTTAGACCATGGGATAACACTGGTCCCGATCCAGGGGGGTTTGTGTGATCCAGGAGCAGCCACCCCAGGAATGCTGCCGGGGCACCCAGGACTCTGTTCCCCCCCCAGTTGGGGTCTGGCCTCCTGGATTGTAACAGTTTGAAAAATGCACAACAATTTATTGTCATTTGGATGATCTATCATCTGATGGGGAAGGGGAATTGGAAAAAAAACGAGGAAACTCGAGGCTGAAATATAAATGGATTTAATAGAAGAAGAGGAAAATAATTAACATTAATGATACTGAAGAACCAATATTAATCCTGATACCAATATAAAATATATAAGGAATATACCCAGGCCATTCTAGCAGCAGGAGGCCAGGAAAAAAAACGAGGAAACTCGAGGCTGAAATATAAATGGATTTAATAGAAGAAGAGGAAAATAATTAACATTAATGATACTGAAGAACCAATATTAATCCTGATACCAATATAAAATATATAAGGAATATACCCAGGCCATTCTAGCAGCAGGAGGCCATGTGCTCCCAGCAGGGACAGCCAATGTGGGGGACACTGAGGGCTGGTGGCTTTGGGAGGAAGGGACGGGCTTGGGGGTCCAGCACCACCAGGGCAAGGAGTTCTCAGGGTCGTCACCATCAAAGGAGAGAGAACTTCCCAGCAAACTTTCTAATTGATGTTGTAATTGATGTCCGTGGTATGAAATAACCCCGTTGGCAGCTTGGGTCCCGGATCTCCCTCCTCCTCATCCCCGCTCCTGGCAAGGCTCAAAAACACGGAGACCTGGAATCCCATATCCCATCTGGCTGGAAAATAAATATTTTCCCAAATTCGGACACCAGTCTTCTAAAAATGTGGGTTTTTCCAAGTATTACAAAAGTCCTGTGTCGCTCAAACCGGGGCAGGGGGGTGCTGGCACCGGGAAGGGGGGGGTACCGGGATGCTGGCCCCGGGGAAGGTTTCGGGGGGGGGTGTGTCCCGGGGTGTTGGCCCCGAAGGGGGTTCGGGGTTGAGGGGGGG